ATGTCAACACCCTGTCCTTGTGTCTGCTGAACGATCATTTGTTTGAAACTTGTGTCGTGAGAATTGCCAATATGATTATTGGGAATACAGGAGAATGTTTCTTTAATGAATTGTCGTTTCTCGGAAGTTCCGACTGTCGTAAATATTTCGCATCCTTCATGAAGCGCTAAATTAATTGCGGCTTGTCCAACGCCACCGCTGCCCAAATGAATAAGAACTTTGTCTCCTTTTTTAATTTTCCACGCATATATAGCGCGTAATAGATTGTGGCATAAACGCAAGGAACTGTGGCAGCATCCTCGAATGTCCATTCATCAGGTATAACCCAGGATACGATATTGTCGTGAATTACTATATTTGATAATCCTCTGAAAAATTAAATGGTATAAATCATGTTAACTTTTTTCTTCGATCCCTGAAGAAAGACTGAAAACAGTATTAATTTCGGAATTGAAGGTCCATTAATATAATATCATTATAAGTATTTGTATTTTCTGTATAATAATTTTGGCAATTTAAGTGATAGTATAACACCTGTTTGGGCATATTCCCATTATTCGCCGTCCTTTCTCATCAAAACCGACAAATTCGAGACCTATTAATGAATCAACATTTCGTTCAATCGATGCAGAGGAATTCAGAGCAACTTTCCCAGTAGCTATCATCACATCTTTGAAATTCAGTGCTGCATAAACTATACGTATAAGATTTTCAGGCTTGATTTCAGGAGATGTACGTCCTCGACCCAACGAAATGTACTCAAATCACCTTGAATCTGATAGAAATTAATTTTTACGCATTATCGATAAATACGGAGGAAAAATGAATAATATTTGAATCGTACTCTGATCGCTTAGAATATCGTGGAAATTAATTTCAACTCATTCTTATTGATATGAAAATTTGCATGCCATATAATTCAATATAAAAAGAAGTATTTTCAAAAACTGACAATGAATACTTGACAAGGAATTAGGTAAATATGTATACACATTTTTTGTTTCGAATGAAAACGTACCCCTTGAACGACGTAACCGCATTGCACAGGCTTCGGTTCTGGTAGTGATAACGCAAAGAGTCGATAAGAGCCCCAAATTCTTCCGGGACGTAAGACGTTAATGGGTAA